GTGTCCTATGTATTTCACTTAAGAGTATCGCCTCAATGTTCTTTTGGCTTTTGACACAAGGTCTTGCTACATAGCCCAGGCTGGCCTTGAACTCAAGATCCTTCTGCTTCAGTCTGTCAAGTGCTAGGATTACAGGCATGTGCCACTGTGCCTGACTTAAAATCTATATTTTCAACTGTCCCATCTGAGAGATCCATAAAAGCACACTGGAGGAGAGGAAGCCACACAAGCTTTTCCCTTATCTGGGTCTGTCCTGCCTCCTTGTCTAAAGACATGTGGCTCCTAGGTGTGTTCAGCTCAATCTGGGCTCAGCTGTGTCACTTAGTACTTTGAAACAAGACAGCACCATGGGCTTCTACAGCAACTGGCTCCCAGGGCAGGCCTGGTGGAGAGGCTCCACCTTCTAACACTGAGGGGACAGGCATAGGCTTGGAGAAGGAGGTGACAAGAATCCCTTCTTATCAACCAACAGTTGCAACATGCTGACAGCCCCAGATTGCTGGAAAAGCCAACCCACACAGGCGAGATGTAATCCAGAGGGCTCAGAGACATTTTGACAAATGCTAATATCAGCCTCTCCAATACAGCCCTGTCAGCAGGAAGGGGGAATTGTGCTGGCATCATAGGGCACACTTTTTGGCACAAGGGATCTGGTTGCTAAGCAGCAGTAGTTGGCCTCCCCTCCTCCCTATAACCTTTTTCTGTTTCTGAGCTTCCAGTTAGCAGTGGGAGGAGCTAGGGGTGCCCAGCCCAGCCCAGCCTTGGTCCCTTTCCCTGCAACAAGGGGCCTATTCATGGGTCCTGAGCAGAGTTCGTTGTCTTTCTGACTCGTGTCTGTGTGTGAGTATGTGTGTAGGGGAACAAAGGGAGGGGCCATGTGTGAACCAGGGAGACTTCATCCACTGGCCAAGCTGGCTGGGCTATTTAATCAATTCTGACAGGAGGACAAGAGCAGTACCCTGCCTAGCAGACCCTGAAGCCTTACATCAGTGCCAGTGACCCACATGGTAAGGCTATGCCTCTGTGCTGTCCCTGCTCCTGTCTCTCTCCTTCCCTCTGCCTTGGCTTCTGGGCTAGGGGAAGGAGACTCCTCAGGCAACTCTGTTGGAGGACTAGATCCTGGCAGTGGGCTCTGTGTGGCTAATCTCCTGTTTCCTCCTCAGAGACTGCCCTTTCTTTTCCTCTCTTGTTCCCTATAGGACTGGCAAAGTACTTTGCATATAGGTGATGCTCAGCAAATCTTATTATATTAGAATCCCTCCTACAAAGGAGGATCACGAGGATCTATACCTATAACCATTCTAGGTCATGCTTTCAGGCTGCCACATGAGCTTGGGCAGGGAAGGCCAATTTGCTCAGAGGCTGGGCTTAAAGCCTAGCTCCCTGGATATTGAGACAGGAGGAAAGGCTGGGCAGCCCACCCTGCAATGCTTTCTAAACTGGGCCCTGCCTCTCTGCTTTGAGGGACATCAGCTCAAGAGAAACCATATTCCTAGAGAGGAAAGCCCAACCTCACATACATCCTGTTACCACTTTCTACTTTTTCGACCAGCTTTCCCAAGCCTCCTGCCCTTCAGCTTCATTGCTGTGTCCTCTGAGTGCACGGAGAAATGCCTGTGGTAGGATGGCAGGGTTTCCCCTGGAGGAGCAAGACTTGCTTCTGGTGGGAGGGCCAGCCCTACAGGTGCGGACTCTGATTGGTGCAGGGGATGGCAGGCGGGGCTGCTAGCTCCTCTCCTGTGAAGGTGGTGGGCTGCTGTCCTGGTGGTGAGGTGAACTGGTATAGGTGCTCCTGGGTTCCGTGAAATTATTTTAAGGTGATTTGGAGGTGAGTCCTGGGCAAGTCTGACAAAGGTCTTCCTTGCGGCAGCCAGAAGTTTAGGAAAACTGCTCAATGGAGGACAAAGGCAGGACTAGGGAGGGTTTGTGTGAGAAAAGGGGATGCAAACCACTCTAAGTGATTTTATGATCACTGGACAACCCTATGTATTGGTAGAGAAAGGTGATCTACAGGTTATCTATTCTTCTGGATTATAAATTCCTTGAAGAAGGATCTACTGCTTGTAGGTATTTCTTATTAATTAACATTAATATAGTTAACATTTGCATTGTGCTTTATAATTTATAAAGCCATCTCACTCATGTTATCTTGTTTTGCTTCCCTCCCTCTTTTCCTACTCCTGTCTTCCCTTTCATGTACTTTGCCTGAATTTCTCCTTTGTGCTAGTCCTGAGCTAGGGCCTGGGATATACAATCCAGTGAGCAGGTGAGAGCTGTGGCAAGCTCCCTGGAGAAGTGACCTCCACCTCAGTTGTGAAGGGTCAGTGGCAGTCACCTATGTAGGGAAAGGGATGGCTGGTGCAGTTTCTGTGGGCTGAGTGCCTGAAGGTGCCGAGGAGTGGCAGGTATGTGTCAGCACGCTCCTAAGCTGGGCTGTGGAAGGAGTTGGCATTGGCAGCAAGGAAGGAGCATGTGGAAGGGTGAGATCACAGAGACCTGGTGGGCCCTGCCTCGGACACTTGATTGGTCCAAAGGCTGCAGAATTTCACTGGTTATGTTAAAGATGGGGTCCCCATGCTCACATTTGCATGTTAGAAAAAGTGACTCTGGCTCCTGGAAAATAACAGAGAGACAAGGTGCTAGACGAGTGAGCATTATTGTTTCTATTTTGTAAATGAGAAAAAGTTTGGAGATTTGTCTGAGTTGTTCAAATTTACATAGTAGGTTGTAGATCTAGCTTTGAACAGTCCAGTGTTTAACCAAAATCTTATGTTCAATTACTTCAGCCATACATATGACTTATTCTGCTCTATGCTTTCTTATCTCTGTATCTTTTCCTGGACCACTCAGTGTAATACATACATACATATATATATTTCAAGCCTTATTCATCCATGAAGGTTTGTCATAGAGTGTCACAGAGGCTGCCTTTCCTAGGAAGCCTTCCTTGATCTCATCAATGAGAAGTAAACTCTTATTCTTGTGAATGCCAATGATAGTTTTGTTGAACTTGTTTTCTGGAACTTAGCATATTCCACTTTGTTAATATGACTCTTACTTTTGAGACAAGACTGCATATTCTTTGAGGTGGTCCAGATTGATTTAACCTGAAATTCCTACCATCTCCCCCATAGAGGTCTGTGCAGTGGGGTTAATAATATTTACTGAACTAATATCTGGGTGGGTGCAGAGGGAGGGGCACTTCTTCCTCCAAGATAGAAGGGAATGAAGGAGGGTGGAATCTTGAAGTCTGGGTTTCGACACCAAGGCACCTCAGTCAATGTCTTTGAAGAAAAGTGAGGAGTAGTTGATGAAAAAAGTTGAGGAGTGGTTCATGGAGAGGGTGGGCTTTGAGTGGGCCAAGTCTGGACTCAAGTCTTCACTCTTATACTTAGAGCCATGTAAGAGTAAGGTGGCTAGGGCTAAGGGCTGGAGGAGAGCAGACAGGGCCTGGAGGGGCATCTGTGGGAGCACATAGGGAGGCCCCAAGATGAGTAAAGGCTTGCAGGTGGAGGCAGGGCATGGCTGAGGTTGGAGTGGGATTTGGGGTGTGTGGGACTTCTCTTGGCAATCCTTGATGTGGGAATCCCAGGTACCTGACAACTGTTTCCCCAGAGCCTGAAGCCAGATGACCAAGCCTCTATGGAGGCTCAGTATGCAGAGGAGGCCTCAGGACCTGAGACCTTCAGAGCAGAGCCAGGAGACCAGCTGCAACCTGGTAAGCCAGACTGGGCTGTAGGGAGTGACAGGGTAGGGGCAGGGAAGGGTAATCTTTCTGTATTCCCTATAAACCCATTGGGTTGATCCCACATGATTAATGGCGAGCAGGTGTCTCCCTCTGCCCCTACTTGCTTTTGCGGCCTCCTTACTTTGGGGACTGAATGGGCTCTGTGGGCTCAGAGATTAGGACTCTACTTCACTCATTCCCGCTGAGGGGAAAGGCGAGGGCTCCTGTCTGTGCTCTTGCTACCTTAGGGTGAGGTGAGGCTGGCTGGTGGGAGCAGGGAGCCCAGGCACCCTCTGCCTCCCCCACAGCGTCTCAGGCAGGGTGTTCCCTGCGACGTGGCTGTGCAGTGCTGGGTGCCCTGGGGATGCTGGCCAGCGTGGGCATCGGCTCATGTCTCCTAGGTGAGTGCTGTAGGCCCTTCTGTGGTCTGGGGAGGGACCAAGGACAGGATCTGGGGGCTGCTGGAAGAGAGAATCAGGTGCTGAGCAGGTGTCATAGATAGATGGAGAATGTGCCTTCATCTACTCTGGGTAGACAACAAGGGGAGAAGGGGTTCTTCAGCGGGTTGGCCGGGGCGAGGTGGTTGATGAAGGCTCCCAGGCACAGTCCTGCCACAGGGGTGTCTTATGCTACACCTTGCTCCTCTCCTTGCTCCAGCCTCTTCTCTGTGACCCTCTCTTTGTCTTTCTGTGAAGTTCTGTATCTGTGGCCAGCAGCCTCTCAGCCTACCTCCGGGACTTCAAAGGATGAGGACGTGACTTTAAGCTGCTCGGAGGCTGGCAGTGAGGTTGCTCTGCTTCCCTCACTTCCCAAAACAGGTGAGTCACACTGCCAAGGCCACAAGACTCCCCTTTTCCCCCATCCAGCATAGCCCCAGGACAGCTCTAAGATACCCTCTTCTGGCTGGAACACGAGGACCGAGATGAAGGGCCAGCAGTTCACAGCTACCGATCTGTCTCTCCCTCCCCTGGCATGAAGGTGGTGACAAAGTCTAACCCCACAGCACTGATCTCAGATTTGGGACTTTTGGAGCCTCTTGGAGGGTGTCCCAATCAGTAGCTAGGGCGTGGCCAGGAGTCCAGGCTGGCAGGAGGGAGGGAAACTTGCCATTTGGGGTGGAGTGAACCAGCAATGTAGGGGAAGAGGAGCTAGATGTGTGTGTGTGTGGCGCGGGTGGTGGTGTGTGTGACCAGTAGTGTCAATAGGCATCTGGGGACAGCACCCCATGTCATCTCCTCCCTGCTTCCCCATTGTCCTCTCCCTGTCAGGTAAGACTTGGGGATCAGGAGGTACAATGCTGCCCAAAGGCTGGGGGTCAGAATAAGTTATAGAAGTCAGAATTTGGAATCTTCCTTTTGGGAGCTGCATGACCTTGGGTACATTTCCTCCAGCTCTCATTTCTGTCTCTAGAAAATGGAAATAAATCCAACTGAGGATCAAAATGTACTATAGACAATGTGAAATAGGAAGAAAATGTCCAAAGGGGAAGGGGAAGTGGGAGGGGTAGGGAAAAGGAAAGAAGGGAAAGGAATAAATATGAGAAAAGGAAAAGAAGAAAATAAAGTTGTAGATGGGGAAGGGTGGAGGGGGTGAAAGGAGGCAGGGGAATGGGGAAAAAATAAGAACCAAGATACGTCATATAAAGGTACAAGTTCCCAATGATGAATGTCACCATATTGTATACCTAAAATGTACCAATAAACATAATGAATTAAAAAAAGGTGACCATCACAAAAAATGGAAATAAAAATATTTACTGAATTTACTGAATAACACCCACAGGGGCCAGGGATTTAGCTCAGTGGCACCTCGCCTGCCTCACAAGTGCAAGGTCCTGAGTTTGATCCCGGGTACCAAAACAACAACAACAACAAAAAACAACAGCAACAACAAAAACCACACAGATTTTTAAATTCACAGTTGTGGAGGCTGAAAGTCTGAATACAAGGTGCTACCAATCTGGTTTCTAGGGAGGGCTCTTTTCCTGGTTTATAGATGGCTGCCTTCTTGCTGGGTCCTCCAGGACCGTTCTTCGCTGGGACACACACACACAGGGAGGCAGGGAGGGAGGGGGAGAGAGACGAAGGACTCTACTGCCTTCTGGATCAGGGTCCCTCTCTGATGGCCTCATTCAATCTTATTTATCTTCTTCAAAGCTCTATCTCCAATTACAGTCACACTGAGGTTTGGGGTTTCAACAGAAATTTTTTTGGGGGGATACAGTTCCTGGAAAAAGTAGGCAATAGATGGTAATTATTATTGTGACAGATTTGAAATCAGAAGAACTCAACCCATTACTTGCTGATGCTGTGATTTTGGGCAAGTTGCATCACTGTGCCTCAGGGTCCCCTCTGCAGAATGGAGAGGATGAGAGCTGCTGCACAGGGCTGTGTATGATGAGTGACAAAGCACCTCTCAAGGCATGTGTTGAAACACAAAACTGAGTCTCCACAGATGGGGCTTATATTGTGTCAGACACTTAGGGCATAGGGAACCTGACTGGAGTGGCCCAGACGCCACCACTGAAGCCTCTTTGGGTCCTACAGAGCCCCAGGTCTAGCTCCTCCTGTCCCTGCAGCAGGTGGGATGTGGTTTTCATGCTGTGGTTCAGTATCTTTCAGAAGAAGCAGTGAGGACTTCTTGCTGGAAGTGCAAGTGAAGGCCTGGCCAGACTGGCTCCTGGTCTGCTATGAGGGCTGGAACCCTGCCCTAGGGGTGCAGATCTGCTGGAGTCTTGGGCATCTCAGGTATCTGGAGCCAGATGTGGGGCCTGGGGAAGTGGAGGCTGGCTGGTGGGCAAGGGAACTGGAGCTGGAGACGTTATCTGCCTGTCACTGTGGAAGAGCCCAGCCAGTACCAAGAGGTCATCCTGGCACCTTCTAGCCTCTGGCATGATGGAGTCTCAGCTTGGCCCTCTCCTTTGAACATGGGTGCTTTGAAACAAACATGAATCTTAGAAGAAGTCATTGTCACAGCCTTGCTCAGTCACTTGTGCTCATTGCAGTTGTGACTCACCAGCATTGCTCATGCTGCAGTTAAAGCAGATCTTCTGTTCTGTCCCCTTCCTCTACCCAGACTTGTTCATCACAAGGGAGTGAACCTGTCTGACCTCAACCTCAGTAGCTCCCAGGCATTTTCTCAGCTCTCGACAGGCCCAGGAGGCCTCCTGGGGGAGCTGTGGCAGCCCAGGTAGGGCTTCTGAAGAGGTTAGGTGAGTGGGGCCCTTGCCTCCTGCGAGCAGTCCGGAAAAGCCTTCCTTCAAGGGAAGCTTGTGGTGAGGACACTGGGAGTAAAGGAGGAGAACAGAGAGGAGCAGTTTCCAGTCAGAAGGAAAGACCGGGTCAATGTGAGACCTGGCAGCCATATGTTATGTGCTCCTCCAGAGAAAGACAGGGTTGGTTGTTATTGTCACATGATTTGGAATGGCACTTTTATTCCTTTTTACAGATGGGGAAACTGAGGCTAAATGAGGTTAAACAATCTTATCCAAGCTTATATAACTAATAGCAGCCAAACCAAATCTTGAAACCAAGCCCCTGTTTCCAAGCTAAGTGATCTTGTAATCTGTCACTTTTTTTTTTCGGTGATACTAGGGACTGAACCCAGTGCCTTCAAAATGAGCTACATCCTCAGCCCTTTTAAATTTTTTATTTGGAGACAGGTCTTGCTAAGTCTCTAAATTGTTCAGTCTGGGCTTGAACTTGTGATGTCTCAGGAAAGAAATGATTGAATTGTTCTGGCCAAGAGCAAGTTGGAGCCTTGAGAATGTTTAAGAGAAGAGGGTTGGGGAAGGAGCAGGCCCCTTCCCAAACCCTCAGGGTAGACTGGAGTGACTGGAACCCAAGCAAAGAGACCTTTTCCCTGCCTGGTTTCCTCAGATTGCCCAGAGGTCTCCTGGGCTGGGGCACCATCCTGGCTCTGCAGCCCTCTCATCCTGGTCCCACTTTCTCAGGTCCTCCTACAGCACCAAATTGAGGGCTCATGCTCAGAAACCTACGGGAGGCAGGGAGGCCCACTATGTCCTGTCTTAGGTTCCCGAGTGGGCAGTGGAGGTAGGGCTGGGATGGACCCTTCCAGGATAGCAGGAGCACTGTGGGTTTGGGAAACAGGAAACCAAGAGAATCCAGATGCTGAGCTGCTGGAGGAAAGAGTTGAGAGATGAGGAAAGAGATGACTAGTTTGGTCTAAAGGAAATTGTACTTATACAAAGAGAGAAGGGGTAATGGGGACAAAAATATGAATTTACAAAGCCCAGAGGCCAGGCTTGTGGGATAGAACAATGGATATGGGGAGGAGGGTGGGGCAAAGAGCTGTGTACACTCATCCACTCAGTATCCATTCAGCCCCCACAGAACACATATTTACTTACTCAGGGCCACCTAGTGGAAGCAGCTGGCCTTTCTTACCTGTAACTACTGCATTTCTAAATGCCCTAATTGATCTCCCAGGATCATGAGGGTTTTCTTTTGCCTCTGGGAGGTTGGCCAGGATGTCCACTGCTGTCCTGGGACTGGTTATGAAGAGGAGTGCAGGCATTTGGGTGGGGCTGGAAGAAAGTGGTGGTATTCTTAAGGCTGTGGCTACATGACAGCTTTAAAACCTGTCCCCCAATCCCACCAATACCCCATCCTCTGTTCCCTTGGGTGTGTGTCGCCTCAGATTACCCTACCTAGCTTCTTGCTGGCATCTCTGTTTTGCAGGGACAACTGCACTTCTGGCAGAATTGTTTCCCTCAAATGTTCTGGTGAGTCAAGTCTTGCCCCCAGGAAGGTGGTGGTGGGAGGAGTCTCCCGCCCCAAGTGAGGAAGAGCCCTGTGGAGAGGCTCCATTGGGTCTCAGGAGTTCTTGCCTGCCTGCCCATCTGTCTGCTGGGGTCCTCCTTGCAGAGATAGTCTCCTCAGACAGACCCCATTTGGCTTTGTCTTGTCTCTACCAGCCACTGTGCCGGGCTGATGAGCTCTTTACTTGATGACTGATACTCTGCCTTTGCTTCTGATACTCATTGCCCTTTCTTCTGGAGAGCCCCAAAGATAGAGTTATTACTGACTACTGAGTGACCTGTTAGCAGATTCAAGGGCAGGTGGTGAGTTAGGGGCCAAATGGGAAGCAGTCTGTGGGGTTTCTTTCACCTCTCTCCACCCATCTACCCAACTATTCATGGGTCTTTCCACACATTCCTGCGCACACTGACACTCTGACCCCTACTGTGGGATGGGCATTAGGGCTCCATAGATCCCACGGTCATGGTCCCTGCTCTCAGCAAGCCCATAGCCTGTAATAATCAACACAGCTATCTTCCCATCTCCCTGCTTAGGACCAGGAATAATAACCAAGGACTGTCCACACTGGCTCCCTAGCATTTGGCACTCTGTCTTGCTCTTCTCTGTTTGCAGAGTGTGGGGCAAGGCCCCTGGCTTCTCGGATAGTCGGTGGGCAGGCTGTGGCTCCTGGACGCTGGCCGTGGCAGGCCAGTGTGACCCTCGGCTCCCGGCACACATGTGGGGGCTCAGTGCTGGCACCCCACTGGGTAGTGACTGCTGCACACTGAATGCACAGGCAAGTCTCAGGGCCTGCTGGGAGTTGAGGGTCTCAGTTGCCTTTTCTGTTTGGCTGTCAGTATGTCCTGTACAAAATGTCTAACTGTCTGCCTTCAGGTGTCTGCTCCAAGTGGGCAAGGGTGATGTTCTGCCTGCTCGGTGCCAAGTTCAGCTCTGCATGAATAGCAATAGTAATGCAAAGATTGCTTCCTTATAGTCATTCAGCTTTTACATTTTAAAAGTGCTTTCACATTCACAGCACTCGTGCTTTCTTAATGTTTATCATCACTGTAATTAAGCCATTTCCACGTAATTACTTGCTGTATGCCTTTCTTCCCCTTTAGATGGGATGTTCCACAGGAGCAGTGACTCCTGGTCCTGCTTGCTACTGAATCCCTTTGTAGATTTCTCCACTGCTTGTCTCCAGGGCCTAGAATAGTTCCAGGAATATGATAGATGTTTAATAAATGTTAGTTGGAGGAATGAATCAATGAATGAGCTTTTTGATAATACCCATCTGACAGTGGGGAAACTGAGGCTGGGGGAGGGAAGTGCCTCCCTCAGGATTACACACAGTAAATGGAGAGGCAGGACTGAGGGAAATTTTTCTGACTCACAGTTTCATATCACATGAGAGCCTTCACTGTTTGCTGTAAAACTTGGAGGGGGATTATATTGGAAAGGGGAATGATAGTAGTAGGTAACCCATAGTCTTGTTTCTCTATCCATCAATCCTTGAGCATCTATTGAGTACCTACTGTATGTTCTGTATCTTGCCAGTTGCTGGGGTGATACTAAGAGGCATAGTCCTTGGGTCTCAGGAGCTCACAGGCTGCTGATAAGGGCCTTCCTAATGAGCTCTCTGGCCAGCTTCCTCCACCCACCACCTCACTTATGTCAACCTCTCCTGCCACTTCCTTCTGAGGGCTCAGCATGGTTCCTGTGTGCAGTTTCAGGCTGTCTCATCTTTCCAGCTGGTGGGTTCATGCAGGGCTGGTCAGCCACAGTGCCGTCAGGCCTCACCAGGGAGCTATGTTGGAGAAAATCATCCCCCACCCCTTCTACAACGCACAGAGTCATGATTATGACATTGCCCTCCTTTGGCTCCGGAAACCTCTCAACTCAGGTGAGGCCCTGGCTCTGATATGAGAAGGCTGGAGGCTGCGGTAGCAAAGGATCAGAGACTGGGCAGGAGGAGAGGAAGCTGATGTCTGAGATTTCCTCCTAGTGCTATAAACTTTGAAACATTCTGTTCATTGTGGGGGCGGGGCAGAGTGACTCTTGCATATCTCCTGAACTATAAGTTGCATGAACTCTTGTATAGGCTCTTTTGGGGACAAAGATTCAGGTCCTTTTCACAGGGGGCTATGGAGAGGAAGAAGAGATTCCCTGATGCCTCACCAGCAACAAGCTTCACCACCCTGTCCCCAGGCTGGTCCCAGGTCCCAGTCATTTTATGACCAGTTACGGTTAAAGAGATTTATTTTTTCCAGGCATTCTTTTTCTCAACCCTCGTAACAAACCTGATAGGCAGACGAAGCAGGTATACCAACAAGGACATTGATGTTTAGGGAAGGAAGTGACCCCCTTCAGGGTCAAATGCCGAACAGTTTCTAAACCTGATGTGCTAATAGAGGGCCAGGGTTCTTGCCATGGCACCTGCCCTGGAAGGGGAGGTCCAAGCTGCTGCCGCCCCAGCAAGCATCCTCCCATTGTGCATCTGCACACAGGCACTCTCTTACAGACACACACGCACACACATACACAGTCATTTGCACACAGACACTCGTGTTTGCCCCCACATGTTCTCACAAACACATACACATAGACATGCTTATACCGCACAATGTGCCCATGCACACTCACACACACTTATATACTATACACTCAACACTCCTGTGCCCTGTCATCACCTGCAGCCTGAGGTCTCCCAAACAGCAGTCTTTACTATATGCATTTCACAAATCTTAACCACATATGTTTAATCACATATGTCACATTGTTCAATACTTACTATTTCTGAATTGATTTAAATAAGTATATGTGAAAGAGAAAACTATACAACTGAAGAACCTATAGTGCTATAGTAAATAGTGGCCACAAAAATGCATCATGTGAAAACAAGGCAGCATTTAAATTCTGGGTAGCTGGTGTCCTCGGCAGAAGTCGCTAAGCCTGGGCCTGCTCTCTTCTCTTCACATGGGAGATCAACAACATTAAGAGAGATGCAGTCCATCACCAAATGGTGTTTTTCTCCCTGATGCAGTTAGAGGGCCTGAAAGAGAATTGAAAAGGAAGTAGCTGTGTTCCCAAGTGAATCTGTGTTCATGTAATGGCACGTCTATGGACTACCTAAAGTCACGTTTGGCCCTCACCAAAGGATGTGCTGCATATTTTTGGAGATATGTTCCAAGAATGATCAGTTACTCTGGGGAAAAGCCCAAATGGGTCGCCATTAGCAATTGGGTTCCTAGGGCCAAAAGGAAGTTCCATTTCTTCTCAGTTACCAGGTGTGGGCTGGGCAGCAAGTGTACTGCCCACCTCTAGAGGGTGCCACGCACACTGCGGTGTGCACATTGTCCTCTGACCAGTCATTCGCAAGGTGGGATGGTGCCTGACCTGTGCAGCAGCCTAGGGAGCCTTGCTGGTGGAGGCCAGACACCTGGACTATTGAGAAGGGGGACAAGGAGGCTCTTCACCTAGGCTCTGCAAGGAGGGAAGTCAAGCCTGAGTGGGGACTAGAACACAGGCCTCTCTGCAGACACCGTCAGTGCTGTGTGCCTGCCAGCGGAGGAGCAGCATTTTCCATGGGGCTCCCAGTGCTGGGTGTCTGGCTGGGGCCACACAGACCCCAGCTACAGTGAGTCAGCTCCCAGGGCCCTCAGTGCCAGAGGGGTGGGGGAGGCACTCTTCTGCAGGGGAGGCACCTCTGCTTCCCCTGGCCAGGTGGCAGTGCCAGCCCTGGGGGTCCTGTCTCCCTTTCCTGGGTCTTTCTGGGGAGAATAGCCTCTGAAGATTTTCCCTAAGCCCGGCCTTCTTGCATCGCCTTCCCTGGTCCCAGGAAGGCCCTGGCCGAAGTGTTTGGTGAGGGCTACCCCTCATCACTGCCCCCAGCCCCATCTGCCCCTTGCTCAGGCTCACACCTCCTATCCTGGGCTCCTGACTTCCGGTCTCTCAGTCTCTGGAACCTCTAACTCCTCCCATCTTGCTGACCTGCCTTCCTGGCCTTGTTTGGTGTCTTGCATTTTTTTTTTTTGGTGTCTCCCACAGGCCACAGCTCAGACATGGTGCAGGACACAGTGGTGCCACTGATCAGCACTCAGCTCTGCAACAGCGGGGCCCTCACCCCCCACATGCTGTGTGCGGGCTATCTGGACGGGAGGGCTGATGCATGCCAGGTGTGGCCTGTGGTGGAGGAGGGGATGGGGGCTGCTGCAGCTTGGCCCCCTGATCTGTGCTTGTGGTGGCATGAGACAGCCCTTGTAGGAGGAGAGCTCCTGCTAAAGGATTATGGGGGGCGGGTGAGGCAGCAGTTAACCCAGTAGGAAGCAGGAGGGGCCCCCAAGGGGCCCCACCACCACCCGTGGTGGTCAGGTGCTGCTCCACCAGGAAGGTCTGACTGGCTGCTTTTCTGTTTTCATGGCTGGATCCCTCAGGGGGACAGCGGGGGCCCCCTGGTGTGCCCAGATCAGGGCACGTGGCACCTGGTGGGGGTGGTCAGCTGGGGTCGTGGCTGCACAGAGCCCAATCACCCGGTGTCTACGCCAAGGTAGCTGAGTTCCTGGACTGGATCCACGACGCTGTACGGGTGAGTGTGGGGCAGGAGTGGGGTCAGGGATTTTCTAAAGGACACGTCCCTTGGATACTGTGAATCTTATCCCTTTAGCTTAGGTCCTGCTGAGGGCCGAAGAGAGGACTAGGGAAAGTTCTCTAGAACAGGAGGGTACAGAAGTGATGTTCGTGACATTGAATTTTTATCAATTTAAGCACTGGCTAAGAATGACCTGAATTTGTAACTTAGATCTGTCATTTCCATGGTGAACTTTGGCAAATTTCTACCCTTGGTGAACCTCAGTTTTCTGGTCATAACCATCCCGGGTACTTTATGTGCTATTGTGATGATTTGAGTTCCACATCTAATTAAATTATGTGACGCTAGGCTTCATCTGTCCAGTGGGAGGGCCGAGTGTGATAATGTGTATCAAAACACAGTATTTGAGTTAAACACTTTATAAAGGCAGGCTGTGAAAATGAAAAGCATCTTTCTTCAAGGTTGGGTATAGGAGGAGGTGGTAGATAACACACTTTAGAGATCACAGGGGATATATGTGTCCATTTTCTCATTCGTGTCTTATAAAGACCTACAGCAGCAGATGTTTTTAGCCTCATTTGTTAGAAGTGGAAATCAAGGTTCTGAATGGTTAAGTGATTAACTAAAATAAGTCTCTTGGCTAGCATGTGATAGAACTATGCTGTGAATTGATCCTCTTTCTCTTTTGATCCAGGACTCCCTCTTCTTAAGTCCTGTGGTTTCCTCCAATCTCACTGCACATCAGTGCAGCCTCATATCTCTTGGGCTCTCTGGCAGGTCCACTAGCTGGAGAAAAAGCAGCAGCCCTGCAGATGAAGAGTGTGGATCGCCTACCACTACTTGCATGACTGTCACTGCCCACAGGCCAGCAGCCACTGGGCCTCTCCTCTCAGGCCTGAGTTCTTCTCTCTCATCAGAGATGTTCCACAAGAAGAGAGAGGCTGGGGCTGGGTTGGGAATGATTGGGGAGCCAGGGCAGAGACAGAAGAGGCTGCAGGGAGCAGCTGGGAGCCTGCCTTTCTGCCCTCTCCCCTCCCCACCTCCTTGTGCGTCTTTTGGGAGGATACTCAGTGTACCCTCAGTCCTGTCTTCTCCCTGTGTCCTCAGGTGGGTTAAGTTCCTGCGTAGAGAATATCCTAGCTCAGGGCCCTGGGGATATGAGGTTGAGGATGGACAACCCAGGTTAAACCCGTGGAAGTCAGGATCCTCCCCACTTACCTACTTCCTGTTCTTAAAGAGCCCTGTGAAGAGTACTGTAAAATAAGAAGGTTGGAGATGGAATATAGTGTTGGTTTTAAGTGAACTGTTCTGTGAACTGGTCCAGAGTTCTGTTATTAAATTGAAGTGACATATGGTCTTGGCCCAACTTTTTTTCTCCCTTCTCTCTCACATGCAAGCTATAGGATAGAAATATATATTTTCTCCTACCCATGTTTCTTGACATTTTGGTGCTGAGTCCTTCTTATCGACTCCAGAATTTTGGCAGGTGTCTGTTCAGTTCTTTATAATTGTTAAATCTACATGTCATAATCTGCAGTGAAAAACCCTAACCTTCCTGGGACTCTGAGGTTTGCAGTGTGAGAACCAGTTCTCTCTTAGGGAAAGACTGGCTTCCCTGAAGGGCTCACATCTCCTCTTATCTCATTTCTCTTTCTAAGTTTATCCTGGGTTAGCATTTTCTTGGGGAAGGCTCTTCCCTACTCTTTCCTCTTTAGCAATTAAAATGCAATTGGCATCTTGTTTCTAAAAACTGCATTGAATTTTTATGGTGCTTACCTAAGGAAATGCAATTAGCATTTAGCAATAACAAAACTTTGTGAGTTTATCAATAATTTTTTTGAGAAGCTGCACAAGCGATTATTCATTCCTGGAGGGTCTGCTCCCTTCACACGAAGTACACTAAAATACAAGGACTTTCTTGTAGGCTTTGTTACCTGGGGAAGAGGTTTCTTGGAGTCAGTTGTCAAATTACAGCAGCAATGTGGAAGAGGTTGTGGTGAGTGGAAAATATCTCCAGCTGCAAGCCTGAGACCAACATTTACTACCCAGCTCTTTCAGGTCCTTACCAGGAGGCAGTGACAGGTCAAGGAAGTGTTACCAACAAATCTATCAACTGTGATCTTTTTTGTGTCTGCTATCAATCAGTCATAGGTATTTATTTACTTGTTTAAAGGAAAGTGCTATTATTATTGCTGTTGCCACCATGACCTTTCAATAATCAATAACATTTGAATAGTACTGTACAGGTTATAAAACCTGCTCATGTACAGGATCTCCTAACACCTCAAGGATGAAGATGTTAGTATTACTACTATTATTGTTATTGGCCCCCATTTTACAGACAAGAAAGTTAGTTTGGAGAGATAAATTGATTTATCCAAGACCACTCAGCTAAGAATCACCAGAGCTAGGATGTGAACTGTGGTTTTTTTTTCTTTTTCCTGGTACTAGGGATCAAACTCAGGACCTTGTGCCATTGAGCTAAATCCCCAGCCCCCCTGGGTCTTTTTGCTCTAAATCCACATCACTGTCTTGAACATAGATGAGTGAGATGGCCCAATATTGCAAAGAAGTGTAGAACTGAAAGGTACTTGTTTAGATCACTAGGCCTGCTTACAATAATGCATTAACCTGATTAAGCTGCCAAGTTGCCTAGATTGTGCTCAAACTTATCATCCTCCTGCCTCAGCATTCCAGGTGCTGGGATTACAGGCATGTGCCACCATGCCCAGCCTCCCTCCCCTATTTAAGAATCAGAGTGGGAGACTTGAAGGAGCAGGAGGCTGTGGACTGCAGGCAGGGTCAGTGCCTAACTCAAACGGACTTCTTCCTTCAAGCTCTTCAGACAGTGATTCTGACAATGAAGCTGACAAGGGCCTAAAGAGGAAAAAGTAAGTTTCTCCAGAACAACCTAGAAAGAAGAAAAGACAGGTACTTCAGGCATGGAGTTTGTAAGGACGGAGGCAACTGTCACTACTTGCATGACCTCTACCAGTCCCTACAGTGTAGTATGCAAGCCTTTCCAGCAAGGGTAGTTCATATGGAAACAGCTGCAGATATGAGCATAGCAAGCCACTGAAGCAGGAAGGAGCCCCTGCTACAGATCTAACTGCAGAACTATCCCTTGTTGCTGCCTCAAGTCTCTTCATCATCTTGGGACCAGCCTGAGTCCAGAGACTCAAACTTCCCAGCTGTAGGCACAGGGTCCGAGGACTGTGTGACCACCATTGAGTTTGTGCCTGGGCAGCCCTACCACAGCCACACTGGCCCGACCTGCACAGAGGCCTCATGCAGGGCTGGTGCCCAAGGCTGAGTTTGAGAAGGAGCCTGCCCCAGTGGAGACCAAGAAGCAGCTCTTCCCCTATGCCATGGTGGGAGAGTGCCACTACTGGAAGAACTGTGTGTACTTATACCTCAGTGCCTCAACATGTGCTGGCTGCAGGTCCTGCACCCAGTGGATACAACCCCAAGATTGCAGCACATAAAGTCTTGCATCAAGGCCCACAAGAAGGACATGGAGCTGTCCTTTGCCATGCAGTGCTGCAAAGACATGGTGTGTGGCATCTGCATGTAGGTGGTATATCAGAAAGCCAAGGGTTCTCTCCAATTGCAACCACACCTACTATCTCAAGTGTATTTGCCAGTGGAGGAGTGCTAAGCAATTTGAGAGCAAGGTCATAAAGTCCTGTCCCAGTGTCTTATCACATCTACCTTTGTCATTCCAAGTGAGTACTGGGTGGAGGAGAAAGAAGGGAAGCAGAAACTCATTCAGAAATACAAGGAAGCAATGAGCAAAAGGCATGCAGGTATTTTGATGAAGGCTATGGGAGCTGCCCATTTGGAAGGAACTACTTTTACAAGCATGCATACCTGATGGCCACAGAGAGGAGCCACAGAGATGGAAAGCAGGAACATCAAGCTGACCCTGGGCCCAGTGGAGGAACCACTTTTGGGAGCTCGCTGAGGGAAGAGATCAGCAGCCCCTTTGACAACCAATGAGGAGGAGGTTGTCTGTCACCTTTGAGCTGGGCCAGATGTTGCTTATGCTTTTGGCTGCAGGTGGGGCTGATGAGCTGACTGAGGACGAGTGGGACTTGTTTCACGATGAGCCCGAAGACTTCTGTGACTTGGACCTATGGTGGCTTTGTGTGGTGTGGGAATGGCCTGCTGAGCCTCAGGCAGTAGCTGTCCACTGTGTCATGTGGCAGTGCTTTGCTCTCCCAGGCAGGCCTCTCAACTCCAGTGCTGTCATGACCACTTAGGGCCAGCTTTCTACCTCACCTTCCCCAAGAGTGTGTCATTTCCTCTGTTTCAGAAAGTTACAAAAGTAATTCTTCAAGTTGGAAAAAAATTGTAATGAGTGCCCTGCCCACCTTTTATGTGAGGTAACCGAAGCCCAGCAAATTAAAAGCTTCCTGCCATAGACCCTTCTCAGGAAATATTTTCAGAAACTTCTACTTCTCCCTCAGATTCAAGATCTGATTTAAACCTTACAAATGGCTACCTTTCACAAGAGAACTGTGCAGACTAGCCTAATTAGGACTTGCTAACAGCAATTTCTTCCTTCCCTACAAGGCTCCTAGTGGCTTTTGCCAATCAGATCTGTAGCTCTGAAGCTCTCACTTTCCTATAGTAGCATCTGTCAGGCCAGCTCCCAGGTAGCAAAGTGAAGTGAGTGGCCTGGGCCAGCTCCATTCCCTGGGCCAACTGCTGGAGTGCAGGGGTGGAGGTGGTGGCCAAGAAGGTGGGAGGATTCGAGTCCAGAGGGGTATTAATGAGGCCCAGCTGAGTGCACAGCTCTACTGAGCTCTGTGGGGGAATTTAGAAGCAGAGAAGCTGACTGTCTTATTGGAGCGATGAGACTTATTTGCAATAAATTATTAGTGGCCAGCCAGGCATGAAGCTGAATGGGGAGGTAGTAATTGCTAAGGGAGCTCCAAGGGCCTATTGTGACTAGATCAGGACATTTTTGAGTGTGGGAAACCTGTACCTTCCTCCCCAAGGATTCAGCACCTCACCTGGCTGGGCAGCTCTTCGGAGCCTTCCGAGACTTCCCCAGAAGCCACCATCTCCAGGTGGGAGCCTTTCTTTCTTCTCCTCCATACTTGTGGAGTCTCAAGGATGTCATGGGGGTAAGCTCTTTCTTCTTGTGACATCTTCTGTAGATATTACTTTTCCTAGAAGTGTTGCCAGAAAAAGGGGACAGCCTTACCATTGCCTGGGGACAATTCTCAGGCTCTTTCTTATGTTTTCTTTTTGAAGGTGCAGGGCTCACCCACAATAGGACAAAACTAGAACTACTGTCAGTGCTAAAAGTGGATGTAATAGCTATCAGAAGGTGTTTTCCCAGGGTCCTTTTGTTATTTTGTTGTTTGTTTTTCTCCTCTCCTCTCTCCTGGCCAGTACTTAGGTCCCTCCTGATGCTTCCTAGCAGCTCAAAGGGAATCTCACTTTCACCTTCCCCTCCTCCAAGCCTTCCTCAGCATCTGGGTCTGACTCTTTCTATGTCCATATCAAATATGCCAAACTCTCAGGCCTCTGGTTCTTACTAAACTGACTGTGGCTCTTTAAATTGTGTTTTAAATCCTTCCACCTCCAAGAAGGCTCCTTGGGAAGTAAGGAGAGGTGGTTTTCCACTCCTGAGGACTGAGGCTCATCTTATTCACATATTCTAATGCTAGAAAAGGGAGAGGAGGGGCAGGATTTCCCCAAGATGGGAAATTTGTGGAGGATTTTCACCTGTAGTGGGTGTTGGAGTGGACCAAGCTGGGAACCAAACTGGATGGAAAGAAAAGTCTGTCCACTAATGTGTCTCTCCCAGAACTGCGCAGCGTCTCTGGCAAGGCAGAGACTTGCTCACAGCTGGGCTTATTTTGTGAACTTTCTCCCTTCTAGAGAACCTTTGGCCATGGCATCTGATACTAGGAAACAGTGATACAGCAGTAGAGTCATATCTGGGTCTCTGGTCACATGAGAATGTGCTCTCCTGAGCTAGTGACTCAGCCTCCCTAGATTTTGGTCTCTTGCCTGTCAAATTAGGAATCTGAGCAAAGTGGTCTCCACGAGTGTTGTAGAATTCTAAAATGCAGGAGAGACCAATGGGAATTAGGAGGACTTTATTTTAGATGAATAGCAACTCAAAAGGAGTTCTGCAAAATCCAGTGCTTCTTTCAACCTCCTTCTGTCTTATCAAGCATCATGGTTAGCCCTCCATGGTCCCAGGAGATGGACAGGAGGAAGGTCCCAGGAGGCCCCGAGGTCTGGGCTGATTTGCAAAGGCAGTGGGATCAGTGAATGCTGCCTTGGCTCTGAAGCCTTCACGAGAGGCCCTTTTTCATCAGAGTCTGAAGCTGACCTGGCT